GGTCTCATAAGAGAAGGCTGTCTCTTTTCACCCAAGAGACTTCTCCTCTCTAGTAATCAAAAGCAACAGTAAAAACCAGTATTTGTCTTAGTTAGCTGAAGTACAAAGTGAAGGAGAGTACAGTATGATGAGTAAAGCACAGCTTTTTAACCTTTAAAAACATCACCCCTGGAAGACAGAGCTAGCAGTCCAGGAAGAACAAAAAGCCTGAGGAAACAGACTGCCCCCAAATATATTGCTTTGTTGTTATTGTCTAGTCTCTAAGCCATGTCCAGCTCTTTGTGACCCCGTGGACCGTAGCCCTCCAGGCTCCTCTGTTCGTGGCATTTCTCAGACAAGAATATTGGAGTGGGTTGCCATTTCCTTCTCCAGGGAAATCCTTCCAACCCAGTAATGGAAGCAGTGTCTCCTGCACTGTAGGCAGGTTCTTTACCACGCAGCCTCCGGGGAAGACTAAGTATACTGCTGGGATTTATGTCAATGAGCGTTCTGTCTTTGATTAGAGACACTTCTTTTCAAGTCCACTCCTTCTGATTGCAAGAACAGGAATTTGGGGTAGATGAGTTTATTTTTTAACTCTAAAAAAGAAACTTAAAATCTAAAAAGTTGACAAATCAGACACCTTAAGGAGTAGACTTCGGATGTTTTTTAAAACTTTATGAAGATTTTAGCATCAGTTCATCCTCCAGTAAGGATGGGAGACTCAAGCCTTCTCTGTTCTAAGCAAAGACATCCATACTTTTTGAGGGCAGAGAATAATAAAAGTGAATTCCCCCCCGGAGAGCTCTTTGAAATGGAGATTTCAGTGTGAAGAGTGTGGAGAAGACAGACCCTGGAGTCTGGGTGGTTGTGGAGGGCCAGGAGCAGGGGGGGTGCATGCTTGCTTCCTGTATCTAGGCTGGGACCCCTCCTTTCCACATACATCCCGGGACCCCATGGAAGGGGGGTCATGGGAGATGCAGACAGCTGGTTGATTCAGGACAGACAGGTCCATGGTGAAACCTGCCTCCTCTCTCCAGCAGCTCAGAGGAGACCCTGAGGATTCATCTGCCCTTGAGAAAGAGAGAAAGAGGGTGTGTCTGAGAGCAGGGGACTGCACACCTGGCCCGAGACTGTCTGCTGGGCTGGGCTGGGAGACCTGGTAACTTCACGGTTGGGGTGTTTCTGAGCCTCGGCTCCATCCTCTCCTTGCTCCGTGTGACTTCAGGCAAGTCAGGCAACCTCTCTCCTCACCGGCCCGAAGAAGGTGGTAGCAGAGCTTGTCTTCCAGGTTTAGGATGTTGACCACGAGTGACGCCTTCCATCCAGGACTCAGAGCATTGCAGGAAGGCGACAATTATTCAGCGTCCGTGAAGAAGGCAGTCTGAGATGGAAAACCTGCAGCACGGATGGGGGCCTGGTGAGACAGTGGCCAGCAGGAGACGAGGGACAACCCCACCTGCCCCCACGTCCTCACTGGGGGATGCCCGTGAAGTCCCCTTGGGATGGGGATGGTGAGCGACATGGAACTCCTGCTTCCTAAACTGGTTTGCTTGAAATCTGAGTGGACGCAGTTCAGTTCAGTTCAGTAGCTCAGTCGTGTCCAATTTTTTGCAACCCCATGGACTGTAGCACGCCAAGCCTCCCTGTCCATCACTAACTCCTGGAGTTTACTCAAACTCATGTCCACTGAGTTGGTGATGCCATCCAACCATCTCATCCTCTGTCGTCCCCTTCTCCTCCTGTCTCCAATCCCTCCCAGCATCAGGGTCTTTTCCAGTGAGTCAGCTCTTCGCATGAAGTGGCCAAAGTATTGTAGTTTCAGCTTCAACATCAATCCTTCCAATGAACACCCAGGACTGATCTCCTTTAGGGTGGACTGGTTGGATCTCCTTTCAGTCCAAGGGACTCTCAAGAGTCTTCTCTAACACCACAGTTCAAAAGCATCAATTCTTTGGTGCTCAGCCTTCTTTATAGTCCAACTCTCACATCCATACATGACCACTGGAGAAACCATAGCCTTGACTAGACAGACCTTTATTGGCAAAGTAATGTCTCTGGTTTTTAATATGCTATCTAGTTTGGTCATAACTTTCCTTCCAAGGAGTAAGCGTCTTTTAATTTCATGGCTGCAGTCACCATCTGCAGTGAACTCAGTAATTCCTAAGTGCCTGGCAGTGACTAGGTTAATTTGAGTGTGAATGGAGTTGACACCGACTCTTTGAAAATACAGTTCGTGTGTTGCCACTCTGATGTGCACGGCTCACAAACCCATCCTCCAGGTGATGGTGACGGGTCATCTGAAGATGCGTTCTTGCAATAATCTCCTCCATGGCCATGTGCCGAACTATGGATCACTCTGAGCCTCAGTTTTGTCAGCAGAAATGTGGGTATTTGTTAAAACCATCTATCTGTGTCCTTCTATTAATAGCTCATGTGTTCTAGATTTCTCAATCTGTCCATTTGATTTAAAAAAAAACAGTCATTGGAGGTGAACTTTCCTCAGATCAAGGCTCTGGGTGGTAGAGAATCCTCCCAGGGATATTGTGAAGAAGAGTCTCAGCCTGCTCAGGGTGTAGAGAAGCATGGTTGTCACAAGTGCTGGTATGTTCATTTTCTGTGAGTTATTCCTGATCCATGGTGCAGGTGAGGGAATCATGCCTCCCAGCTGTCAAGGGCCCCAGGAGGGAGAGGGTGGAGTCTGGGGGGGGGCCCCAAGTATCGGTTCACCATCTCATGGATTTGCCAACAGTATGGGGTGTTTTCCGCGTGTCACTGACGCCAGGCATTACCAAGCATGGACACTGTTCTGTGCACAATGTCAGTTGATAAGGGTCGGTTGGTGAGCATCATTTGTCTTACTTACAGCACAGCACATGCGTCCAGTACAATATTTTTTTTTTAACCAGGGCCCCCTGAATGCTATTTTCAGTCTTGCTGTCTCAGCTGTATACTTTCAAGGCAAGTCTTCCTGTTTGGACCAGCCGTGCGATCGCCACAGTACCTATTGCAGAAGGACGCTCCCGTCCCATGTGCAGAGGCCAGGCCATCCCCTCTGTCTACCCATCTGGATGTAAACCTCAATCCAGACCAACAGTGATGGATTGTTTACTCTTGGCTTTATCCAATTACACCCAAGATGATTTTCCATGAAGATAAAGAAGAATTCATTTCTCCTTATGATCCTCAGAGCATGTGATAGTCACTGTGCAGTTGCCGGGAAGGAATGTCAACATTGAGGCAACTGGCACAATGATGATTCGCCAGGGGCCACAGATCAGCTTGAGATTAACTGTCGTGGCAATCTCTATGACAGCCTTAATTAAAAACAAAACAGAATGCTAATGCGGTTTTTCAGAAGCAAAACTACTTTCCAAGTTCGGTAAATGAACACAGCCACTAATGCTTTAAGCGCAAATGCTCTGACTGCAGTGCTTTCCCAAAGGGGCAAGTGTGAAATGCTGCAAGCATTGAAGAAGGGTGACTGTGATGTGTCCCTTGGGTGCTGCAGGGGGTCATCGTGCAGGTGACAAAAATGCAGAGACGGGGATGCAATGGGCGGTGTTGCTCTTCCAGGAAAATCTAGAAAAGTCTAGAGCAGAGACTTGGACACTCAGAGTCAGGGCACTGTCTTACTCTGCTCAGGCAGCCATAACAGACCGGGTGGCCTAAACAAGCAGTCCCCAGCCTGAGGCTCAGCTGGTAAAGAATCCACCTGCAATGCAGGAGACATGGGCTCAATCCCTGGGTCAGGAAGATCCCCTGAAGAAGGGAATGGCTACCCACTCCAGTATTTTGGCCTGGAGAGTCTCATGGACAGAGGAGCCTGGCGAGCTACAGTCCATGGGTTTGTAAGAGAGGTAGACATGATTTCATGAGTAAACAACAGCAAAACTGTCGGGCCCGATTCAAGGTGCTCTGCTGGTGACCTAACTGGCTCTTCCTGAGACTCGGTATCTCCATCTGTGAGATCCGTCTAAGCTGTGCTGCATGGGGTGGGGGCTGGCTTGATCAAATGCCTTATTATATATGAACTTACTTATCTCGATGCCAACACATCCAGTGGCTTCCTAGGATGTAAGCTCCTTAAAAGTATATGTTCCTTCTGACTGTGGCCAAGAAAATTAAAGATAGGTGGGTTTATTACCTGTAGCATCATTCACATAATCAAGGTAAGGGCATGACAGGAGAAAGAAAGAAAAAGTATTGCAGACCTATAATTTTTTGTTCATTTTATCCTAATTTCTTTTAAGCATCGAGTTGCCTAATCAGATAAGGAATTAAATATTTTCAAGTTTAAACTAATTTTGGGTGTCTCACCAGTGAATTGTAGATATTTGTGAACTTGCTCCTCACTTAATATTAGTTGATGACTGTGACTCGGTAGCAATCATGCAGGTTTTCTTTGATAACCGTTTGGAGGCCGACCCAGGCTTTATCCCTCCTCTCCTCCGCAGGCTGAGCTGGGAGTCTCCAGGATCCGCAGAGCTCCACTCCTCACCTATAGGAAGTGGTCCAGGTGTGGGTGCCTGATCTGAGCTTCACCAGTTATAATGCCCACAGCTGCCACAGGACACTGGAGTCTTCCCCCAGGGTTTCCTAGCAAGAACTGAGCAGAAGCTGGTCTCCCACAGCCGATCCACACACTGGGTGTGGGTAGCTGTGTTTTCACACATGGAGGAAGCACATGGATTTTCACACCGGAACAGTCACGTGCTGAGAGCCCAGAGACCACAGGGGAAGCCCGAGATGCCCGTGTGCTGGGCTGCTTGTCCTGACCCCGCTGTAGGCCTGGCTGAAATCCTGAGACCCAGGGACCGAGCTCGCCCGTCCTGACCATGCTGGGCGCCTCGGATAGCTCTATGTGGCACCCACGGTCACCTCCCAAACTCTTCCCAGGAGTATCCCACAGGGCTCCCCTCTGTTATCGGTAGGACACATTCTCTAACATTTTGAACACTTTAAAGGAAAAATCTTTGTTTACATTATCCTTATGCCCAGAAATATTTGTACTCTCATACCAAGACGGGGTGCACTGTTGCAGAGGGTCTCACTGAACCGCTCAGCAGCAGACACGGCCACGCTTTCAGGCCCACGGCCGGAGCGTCGCGCGTGTGGCTGGATGGAGGTGGAGGGAGGGGCCTTGGTCCTCTCTCTGTCCCAGCTGCCCCGTCCTCTGCGGCCAGTTCCAAGTGCTTGTTCAGCACCTGGGACGGAGGGCCATCGATTGCCCTGGTGCCTCGGGAGGCTGCAGAGAGGGCTCTTTCCAAATAGACTTTGCATTGATCTGAGAAGCGGAAGTTTGCACCTGCGTCATGCGTAGATGCCAAGGACAGGATTTTGGATAACCTTGCCTCTCTGAGGGTCCCACTGGAGCAGTGGCTGCTTATATAACCATCCAGGGCTGAGAAAGGTGTCATTAGTTCTGACTTTTCCATTTCTTTCTACCCTTTGCTAGATATGTCATAAGAAACTGCACGTAGAATTCTAGACCGTATGCAATGAGTAGGATATTAGTGGCTGGAAATATCAAAGTACCTAATAGACACCCTCTGGCGGGGGAATGCTCGCAAATGGCTATTTTCTAGGGACAGGAAAGCAGCCAGAGGGGAACGGGTGACCCGGGGCTGAGGGGTCCCCAGGGAGGCATAGTCCCCAGCCTGCAGCAGGTGTGGGATATGCCAGCATCCTGAGGGGTTTTGAATTTCCTGGGGGCACACACTGTGAGCTACTTAGGTTTGGAGTAAAGTAATGCAAGTGCACCCTTTAGTGATAGGTAGCAGGCCGAACACAATTGACTACATCATTATTTTTATAAGCCATCTTTTAATCTCTAAAAAATCAATATTCTCAAGTGTTGGGGTAAATAGAAATTATCTAAGAGAGCTAATTAGGCTTCCCTTGTGGCTCAGCTGGTAAAGAATCCGCCTACACTGCGGGAGACCTGGGTTCAATCCCTAGGTTGGGAGGATTCCCTGGAGAAGGGAAAGGCTACCCACTCCAGTATTCTGGCCTGAAGAACTCCATGGACTGTGTAGTTCAATGGATCACAAAGAGTCAGACACAACTGAGCAACTTTCAGTGAAAGCTAATTAAACACAGAGATGCTCAATGCTTCTCCCCTGATAAGGTAAGGTAAGATCAGACAGGTATATTTTAAGTAGCATCCCTTTGACTTCCAAGGTGTGGGATGCCAGCTTTATAATGGATAAAAACAAAACTATAAAAGTTTCTGAAACAGTAGTATCGCACCTTCCATAGGAAGGCATATAAAATATGATTTTAATAAACTGTTTTCTTAGATCCATATTCAAATATCACTGCTTCACAAAAGCTAATGGTGTATTTACTTCTTATAGAAAAATAATTACTTGAAAAATATTTGTTTCAATAATTAAAAGACACCCACCTGATGGCTCAGACAGTAAAGAATCTTCCTGCAATGCAGAAGACCCAGGTTTGATCCCTGGGTTGGGAAGGTCCCCTGGAGAAGGGAATGGTTACGCACTCCAGTATTCTTACCTGGAGAATTCCAAGGATTGAGAAGCCTGGAAGGCTGCAGTCCATGGGATCACAAACAGCTGGACACGACTGAGCGGCCAACACTTTCACTTTTATCAATTTAACCATTAGCAATTAGTACATACCAATATTTACGTCTCTCTGGTATGAATTTACAAATCCTTTGGAGAATCTATAAATGAATCTCCCTTGAGCCTGCAGAACGGTTGATATATTTGCTGAAATACACAAAGCCATAGCAATGAGACAGATTCCAAATACTTTGGAAGTGAGAACAAGGAGATCTGATAAGGTGATAACTCGGAAGCCCGCCCGCTCCACTAGCTCTGATATGAAAGAAACCGGTGCCTGAGGAGCACTGCCAGAATGGAGTCTTCTGCATGTTGGGGCAGATTCCACACTGGCTCCTGATGTGGGACACACAGGTGGACACAGGAGGCCGGCCTCCCTGGGAAGCCTCTAGAGCAGACAGTGGGTACACGCTTCTCGGCGTGTTGCCAGCGTTGCTTCCGGCCCTGGCCTCTCTGCCCCCTCTCTGCCTTAGGTCCCCTTTGCTGCGGGGATGTGTGGCCCCCCTTAGGCAGTCCCCAGCTGTGACCTTGGGCAGCTCTCTCCTGTGTGACCTCCTTCCACCTCCCATGTGCTGGCAGCTCCAAGATCTACGTCTCTGTCCAGAACCCAGGCCTGCAGGCTTCTCCCTCCTCCGCTCTTGTTTCCCTTCCCTGCTCCTCTGCCAAGTGCTCCACCGCCTGCTCGGCTCCGCGTGCAGACGCCAGGACACGTCCCACCGCCCTCAGCTCCGTGAATGTCACCTGCCCCTCCTCCCGTTGGCCAGGGTCGGCTCTAATCTTGGAGCCCACGTCTCTTGACAGGTACACCTTCCCGAGCCACGTCTGTATTGCTGCAGGAGACTCTCTAGCGCAGCTTGGAGCCTCTGGGCCCCCGAGGACCAGCCGTCAGTGGCCCCTCGGCCCTTGTAATGTGAAGCTGCTGCGCGGCGCATTGAAAGGCAAGACCCTCCCTCTATGCTTTCTGCTTCCCTCATCCCGATTCATCTCCTAGCGAGCACGCCCGTAACCCGGTGGGTGCACTTGTTGGGGCCGCTGTGTTAAAATGCCACAAACGAGGCGGCTTCGACAGCAGCAATGGAGTCTCTCACGGGCCTGGGGGCCACGAGTCTGAGATGGAGGTGTCAGCAGGTTGGTTTTCTCTGACGGTCGTGAGGGGAGGTTCTGTCCCAGGCCTCTCCCCTGGGCTCGAGGGGGCCACAGGCCCGTCATCTCCTCACGTGCCTTCTCCTGTGAGTGGCTGGTCCACACGCCTGCTTCTGTCAGGACGTTAGTTGTCAGTCCTGTTGGAAGCGCTCGCTCCAAGCAGCTCATTCTAACCTAATCCTCTCCTAAAAGTTCCCGTGTCCAAACAAGGTCACATTCGAGGTCCTGGGGGCCAGGACTTCAGTGTGAGAATTTAGGGAGGCACTGTCACTCCCAGAACCCTGCTGCTACCCCAGGGTTCTCTGGGGGCGCCTCACAGAGTCTTCTTCCCATGAAAAGCTGCCTGCCCTGTCCTTCATTCACCCCTCTCTGTGGGCGGGGGGACCACACTTGCAAACGCACACGCATTCTCACATAGACACACTGGGACACACTCTTACACTCACACCCAGACGCACTCACATATACACTCACACACCTGCACACACTCACACACACACACGCTCATATACACACACACATTCTCACATAGACAGACTGGGACACACTCTTACACTCACACCCAGATGCACTCACATATACACTCACACACCTGCACACACTCACACACACACACGCTCATATACACACACACATTCTCACATAGACACACTGGGACACACTCTTACACTCACACCCAGATGCACTCACATACACACTCACACACCTGCACACACTCACACACACACACGCTCATATACACACACACATTCTCACATAGACAGACTGGGACACACTCTTACACACTCACACCCAGACGCACTCACATATACACACATACCCGCACACACTCACACACACACACACATTCTCACATAGACACACTGGGACATGCTCTTATAACACTCACACCAAGATGCACTAACATACACACACACACCTGCACATATTCACACACACACACACATACTCATACCCATGCAAACGCACATTCTCATATAGACACACATTGTCACATAGACACATTGGGACACACTCTTACACACTCACACCCAGATGTACTAACACACACACACACACACACACACCTGCAAATATTCACACACACATAATCATACACACGCAAAACACATTCTCATATAGACACACTGGGACACACTCTTACACACTTACACCCAGATGCACTAACATACACACACACACACGCCTCTGCAAATATTCACACACACACACACATACTCATACACACGCAAACACGCATATAGACACACTGGGACACACTCCTATACACTCACACTGGGACACACTCATGTACATACACACTCACCTGTATACACACACACATAGTCATACCGACCCACACATTCTTAGAGACAGAGAGGACACACTCACATAGACTCATAGACACGCAGATTGTGCACTTGTACCCAGACATGAATACACACACCTGCACACACTCACATACCCACATATACACACCCACGCGCTCACACCGACACACACATGCCATGGTGCCTGCGTCTTGTCACACCCCTGTGCTCCTTGGGTAGCAAGCCTGTGACTCAAGATGACCAGGTTCTAGATCCCCTGGTCCAGCTCTTCCTAGCACAGAGGTCCTCAGCCAGCCACTGCCCTTTTCCAGACCATGGGGGCACACCTGCTGAGTGACAGAGTGGATAAACTGATTCCTCAGGACTTACAGGGTCTCGCATAGTTTTATTCAAGAAAGTCTGAAATAGTTTTATTTAAGAATCTGTCTGCCTCCCTCCTAAAATCATGATTCACAAAGTGTATATAACAATAAAATCAGTGAATGTAAGAAGAGTGTTACTAGTGGTTTGTAAGAAAAATGAAAGATTAAATTATAGGAGTAGATGTCTGGAAAACCTAGGGAATCAATAATGTCAATACAAATGCAATATTTTTTGGAACATGCAAAATACATGTAATAGAAATTGTTCTTAGAGTAGGCAACTTTGGAAATTTTCATTAGAATGATGTTTTTCTCAAATGAATTCTCTAGCTTGTTCTGGCAACTCCAACGTAGAAATTTCTTTACACAATTTCTGACAGTGGATAGTGTCCAAGTGCTGGCTGTAAAAATCATCTGCAGAGGTTGAGCAATTAAAAGGAATTTCATCTAACGCAGTTACTCTCAATAATATGGCTTTCTTTCTCTGTCTGTCTTACTTCATTTAATATGATCATGTCCAGTTCCCTCCAATTTGCTGCAAGTGGCATTATTTCATTGTTTTTAATGGCTGAGAAATATTCCATTGTATTTATATATATATATATGTATATGCACCGCATAGTTTCTATGTGGAACCTAAAAAACAATGATACAACTGAATTTATTTACAAAACAGAAACAGACTCACAGATTTTGAGAATGAATTTATGGTTACCAGAGGAGAAAGGTGTGAGGGAGGAATACACTGGGAGCTTGAAATTGACATGTATGCATGCCTGTGTTTAAAACAGATGAGCAACAAGGGGAGAAGGAAAGGGCAACCCACTCCTTTTATCTTGCCTGGGAAATCTCATGGACAGACGAGCCTGAAAAGAGTTGGAGACGACTTAGGGACTAAACAACAGCAAAAACAAACCAACAAGGACCTATTGTAATAGATAGACAAATAATATGGCTTTCTTAATGGGTGTGCATGAAGTCCTTGGGTCAGCCAGGAAGTAAAAGTCATGGGAAACCCCAGTGTCCGGCATCATTCACTGTTTCCCTTTGATAACTGAAAACAAGGGCAACACAATAATTATTAAGCAGGTTTCTTTTAGAACATTACTGAAACCATTAATTGGTGCTAGATTAACGACCACAGACAATGATTTACATCTGAAGTGGCTAAATTTACTGTCGATTTGTGGAAACAAACTTACCATTCACAAAAAGCAACATTAAAAACAACAACAGAACAGAAATAAGGTGATTTGGGGGTCACTTGGAGATCTGTTCATGGGGAATTCCTAGATCTTGGGGTGAGGGTCTCTGCCCACTGCCCCTCCAGCCTGCTATCCCACCCCCTGCTCATGGACGGCAGGTCCAGGGGAGAGAGAGGTGTGGGGGACCTACTCTTTTGGGTAAGAAGCTTCTGTTCTCAGGTCAGACTCCACTTTTAAAAACAGCTGCCTTGCAGCAGCTCAGCTAAGGCACAAGCATTTTGCTCAGAATCTTGAAGTCATTACTGGGTGGAAAAATGTCCTGTAGGTCAGGGAGGATGGAGAATATGAGACTGATGTAGCAGATGAATGGTTTTGAAGGTGAAATCCCCATTGCTGACTCTCTGTACTGTGGATTTCTGAGAGTATGCCTCAGGACTGCCTTAGGAGGAAACCTGAGCCTTGGCTTCTGTTCATTGAAATTCAAAGGAGCCATTTGATAAGAGCAGGATTCAAACCAGAACCCAGCCACCCGGATCAATCTCATAAACAGGAGTTGCTCTGCTCCTCATTAGCATCATTGTAACTCACCTGTTTAGCAGTCCGAGTTTGATAGAGGAATTAAGAATAATATCAAGACTGAAAACTGGTTAAAATCATTCAGCTCATTCCACCAAAAGAGAGTTCGGACATTGTAAGGGCCTTGCTAATCAGAAAACAATTGCTTAATTAAATAAAAAGTGTGACTTTTGCAGCCTGATTTAAGCTTCTCAGAAAACTGATGAATGAAATGCAGAATGGGTGACCTCATTTTAAATTGGCCACTTCTGGAAAGCACATGCTTCTGAGAAATGGAGTGCTTCCTGCCATGTCAGTAAACAAGGATGCCACAGTCATCAGCAATGCCAGCTCCAAACGTGAATTCCTGAGCCCCAAGGGCACTTAAGAAGGAGATGAATACCTTGATCTGCCCGCCATCAGCGGCAGCCACTCTCTGTGGTGAGCTCTGAGGAACTCAGGAGGATGTGAAAAATGCAGGGTGATGGCCCCAGATAGCTGAAGTGCATATGAAGGGGATGATTCCAGTGATTCTTGTGTCTTTTCATACATAGAAAAGTGATAAATTCCTTAACTTGGGGTATCTGGTTTTATTTAATTCATGAAATAATTACTTTTCATGCTCAGACTACCTGCCCTTTGTTGCAAACTTCTCAAACCTGACTCTCCCACCCCACCCTCCTCAGAGCAATTCTCTCAGGGCCATTTGAGATACTGTCTCCCGGGATAAAGTCTTAAATATTTCCATTAAATAAAACATAAATTTCAAGTTTTAGGTTGTGACTATTTTTTAAGTTGACACGTTGCACCCATCTCAGACCAGGTCTTCCTAGGGTGACTGAGTTCATTGAAATAAGAAATTTTACACTGTGTTTTCACCTTCCTCCTCCTCTAAGCATCACAGACCACTGGACCAACTTAGTGCTTGGAAAGCCTTCCCTAGGAACCCCTCTGCCCCAGGCCTCCATTATTATTATTATTATTATTTTTACTAAAATCCAAGTGACTGAGCGAATTGCCTATCTCCTTTTAAAAATGTCAAAATTGGGGCTAGCCACTTGAAAGACAAAAGTCAGGTTGGATTCTGTAACTGTGAAAGTATGTTAGTCACTCAGTTGTGTCCAAATCTTTGGGACCCTAAAGACCTGCCAGGCTCCTTTGTCCATGAGATTTCCCAGGCAAGGATATTGGAGTGGGTTGTGCCATTCCCTTCTCTAGAAGATCATCCCAAATCAGGGACTGAACTGGCATCTCCTGCATTGCAGGCAGTCTTTACTATCTGAGCCACTGCGACTCTAATGGGTTTAATGGAGCAGGAAGAAGTTGTTAGAGGCAAGGGATTAGAAGGGGCATATTTGAGGTGGGAGTTACCCTTGAAAACACCTGGAAGGAACAAACCAGAGAAGAATCTTTGCCTAAGATTGCCTTTCTTCATCCAGGCTTTGTAGCTGAGTAGACTTTGCATGCTTCCACCTCCTCTGTCTTATTTTATTTCTTCTCTCTCCTTAGAAAGGCTCTGTTACCGACCTGCATTTAGCCTTCATGGGACACTCTAATAACAAATAGCACATCCATTTTCAGAACAATATTTCTGTTTTTCTTTTCTCCATTCAATCTGTTCTAAAATGAATTAAATAAAGAACCAAAATGGAGTTAGATCATATCTGCTTCAAGCCATTTCCCCAGTTTACTGCCACGTGTTAATTTAATGCTCCTCATGAGTGAGCTAAGTTGCT